TTTTTAACAAATAACGCTGCCATCGAGACGCAGTAATTATTTAGCGTAGCAATTTCGTGGATGTTGGTCATCGTTAAATTTTAAAAAATTAAACGAACAACGCAATCGACAAAATTGTTCTTCTGATTGCAATTTCCCGCCGGCGTTATTTCATTAAAAATTTTGTTTTGACGACGATATCTCTGGATAGCGCAATCGATAATTTAAAAAAAGGAAAAGCACATTTACCATTGAAAGTAACGATTGTCACTACGTTCCGAATAACAACGGGCAACAGCACGTCGCGAGAGATAATTTAAAACACGAAAATATGCGTCGCACATCTGGAAATAATTGTCTCGATCTTTCAAGCTCGTCGCTTTATACTAAAAAGAAGAAGAGGTTCGCGAATGCAATCCGAGCACCTGACCAAAGATGCAATAGCAATAAACTGTACTGACTCACTTTATTGCCAGGCCCTCTAGTATTGCACAGCAAGGATTAGACACGCACTTTTGCCTCACAGATGGTCGCGATCCTCGCCAGCCTCGTCTATCGGCAAAGCAAAGCGAGCGATTACTATTAGTAAGAAAACTGTAACATGAACCAACGACCGCCAACGAAAGAGTAGTAAATCATGGTTATGAAAAAAATGATGACACTACCCATATGACCGAAATATTATACAAGATGCCTTGAAGTTGTGGTCCGTAAGCATAGCGACTTGAAACTCGTTATTGTAAACCTGCAAACGTTCATCTAGAAGCATACGCGGAGTCCGACTAGTCCCGTCGCCACTCTGATATCGCACGCTGGGTAGAATTCCTCGAGCGTGACTTATATCAATCCGAAGGAGTATCCCTCTATTGGCACAGATAAAACTGTCGGCCAGCGAAGGTCACAGAAGTCGTATCAAAAACCTAAGAGCGAGATCGCTGCTGATATTTGCGGGGAAACATGATGCGAAAACGAAGGCTTCAAAAAGGGTTCATTTCCTGTGATCGTTTTGGTTCGATCACGAAGAGCGACGCCCTCGGCCCTTGGGCCCAGAGAGAAGGAATGTGAAAAGCGAACGTGTCGGCTCTTGCGGCGTGTCTCTGCAGAACTCTCCGGGCTTTCGAACGGGCGTCTTTCGCGTGCACGAAACTCTGTAATCTCGCATTACACCCTTGTACTATTGCGTTTAAGTTTTCAGTTCAGCGTCGCGTTTAGCATGTTCGTGTTTATTTATAATCATTTTTAATTAAGTTTAATGTTGAGAGTTTCAATATTTTGCTAATAAATCGGAAATTGCCACGAGTACACACCTTTATTCATTTTCACTTTTCTTCATTCCGAACACACCGTGCTACATCATTTTTAATTCTATAAAAAATATTGCTTTCTTTGTTATTTTCTTTTAATCATTCTATTACCAACTGAGTTAATGTTATTTTCTCAATAATTTTAATATTATAATTAGTAGTTTTCGAAAATGTATCTCATTCTATTTATCAAGGTAAATTTATAATCATCCAAATATCAATTAATCACCAAATGCCACTGTTTGAACGCTTTTTGTAACTCCGAAATTCCATTTGCGCTTAGAAAGTTTTTCGTTGGATGTTATACAACCACATATAGTTCACCAATCTATTGACAATGTTTGGTCATGAGCAAGCTTATATCTTTCCTCTCAACTATACTCTATAAAAAATCAATAAATCAACTCTATATATCGTATCATGTCTTTATGTATAAATTGTACGTCAAGTGCACAATGAATCAATATCCACTAAAGCGCGAATTCTCAGCGACGAAAAGTAGAACATCGGAAACACAGTAATGAACTGAAATCTCCGGAGCATTTCTAATAGCTAAGTGACTCACTCACTCTCTTGTATAATATGCATCGCCACTTAAAAGCTCACGCGCGCAGGCTTTCTATTCTTGGAATTGTTAATTAATGCTGCACCGGCCAGAGTTTAATGATAGACCGACGGAACGAAGTTTTGGGAGTTCTACTGAATCCGAAACTGTAAAATGTACCGTAACGGAAATATTTGGCACAACGTGACGTGATTTTTATTACTCGATTTAGATAAAAAAACGTTGCATATAAGGAGTAAATAATAATTGGAGAATTGCGAATTTTCGAGATCAAATCCATGGCAAAACTAATTAACTCGAGAAATAACGTTATTATTGATTCACAACCAACTAAGCGACGTTTCACTTTTCAATTTCATGATTGTAAGCAATTGATCAATATGTACTCACACATTGATTATTCAATTTATATATTATAGTTCAATTCATCTGTTGATGCGTCTATATAGTTAACATTATATATAGATTCGCGATATATAATAGTAATATTACGAGTACCTACGGCGCACAGAATAACTATTTAAACAGTTATTCTATCGGTATTAAAATAATTTCAAATATCAATTGAACAGATAATAAACTTAAGATTACTGCTACCAGAATAACATATTAGTTTATATTATTTTATTGATATTAGACAATGAAAATTAACAGAAACATAGAATATTAGTAATATTGAAACACAAAGCCTATATATTCAACGAAAAGTGACGTATTGCTCAACAAATATTTGAAAACACAAACGGTGCCGTGGTGGGGATAAAAGAGGTATTTATTGTAGCGGGAGTCGCGAGTATTGCAAAGACATCCGTTCTTTGAGAGAAAGAAAAATTCTCAGCTCGCCTTTTATGTGTCAGAGGTGCAGGAGCAGCAGCGAGGGAAAAGAAAAGCCCGGAGGTATAGAGGTACGACTATCGGCGCGCGCGCGCGCGCGCGGGGTTAGCTGCTTTTATAAAGAGCCATGAACACGAGAGAGGCTGGGCTGCTCGCCGGTCAGCGAATCAATTTCCGTCGAGCACCCGTACGCCCTTTAAAGAGAAATCGAACCTAAAAAGGATCGCAAAGGAAAAGAAAGAGAGAAACACACGCGCGCGCGCGCGTACGCGCCTCGCGTGAATTACAAATGAGGAATGAGTTTTATCCGGAACACTAGCCTTTTTTCTCATTTTATTTTCCTTGTGTGATGAAATTTCAAGAAAAACATTCAACTTTCACTTTATACTTTGACGAATCCGTAACGTTGATTAGTTTCATGATACTATCGTTCCGATACAATTGCTATTGAGCATGATATTTAAGCTATATTAATAGCTGTATTTTGAGCCATAATAATAGCGATAATTACATTCATGTTTCGCAGTATACCAAACAGTGTACGTTCTAATATCACAAGCGGATATAATTATTACTTGCTTACAATATTGTATGCATTTCAACGACAATTATACTGACAAACAGTTCATTCATCTCGTCCGTTTCATCTAAAATGTACCAGATCAAAATAGCATTCAAAACAAAACGGCACGTAACAAAGCAATAATAAATCGAAAAGCATATCGATCCAACTTTCAATTGGTCTCAGCGTGCAAGTCGATAACGAACAATCGATGAAAGATGCATATCTTTGCATATGATTGAGTTCCTTTAGCTCTATAATTTCGGCGCCTACGTTGCAAATTTACAAAGTTAAGTGGCCACTCTTTCTCCTCCCTCCCTCCCTCCCACTTTCTCGCTCTTTGACTCATGCCAGTAAAGCAGAGGGAGAGAGAGAGAGAGAGAGAGAGAGAGAGAGAGAGCGAGAATGAATCCATTCGGTTTGGCCTTGTGCTGACGCGTTCTGCGGTTTTCATGGACACAATGCAAGAGGAGAATTTGCTGTGGCGCGCTAATCTCGTTCGCTCCCCAAGCTCGTTAATTACTTCAGTTACGCAATTTTCTGTTGGGGCATATGAGATAAACTGCGTTTTTGTAAAAGCCGCGATATAGCGTGGTAAAGCGAGAAAGAGAAAATAATTTTCACACCCACGCCGTTATGGTTCTTTCCTCTTTTTCCATATGAAGATTTGCGGATGCGTTGATATGAATGATCGTTATGGCATATTGTCAATCCTCCAAAACGTTTCGTCACGTCTAAATTTACAAGTACACGTAATTTTACGAGGCTTCTTTTGACCTCGGGTTCGGCTGGAAGCTCCAAGCTCCAAATTGGATTGCTCCTTCAAACTCTCATATTGTTCCCAAAATCGTCACATATCACTGTAATTTTAACTCATTAATGTTTAATAAAACTTATTTTGATGTGCTCAAAAACTCGAATATTTAGTTAATTTTTGAAGTGCAATACACATTTTTAGATGCGTCACAAATTAACTCACAAGCTATAAAGCTCAAGCTATGCTAAGCGCTTAAAAAGCTAGAAGGAACTAAAATCTTCAAGTTAAAATAAGTCTTTGAAGATACAATTCTTACTGTTATATTTTTCATGAATTTTATAAATTTACAAATATATTCGTTATATCTATAAAACTGACCACGCGTATTGTATTCCTTGGTTATTCAATTTATCCATTATATTTATTTATGGACCCGTCAAGCAATATACCATCAAGAATGCATAGTTTGAATACAATTAATTTGGTATTTTTAACTCATCAATATATTAAATTACAGTATGTTGGAAACTAAATGTACTCGATATGTTTTTAAAATATAGCTAAAGAGTATTGCAATGAGTTTTAAAGATCAGATTATCAAGAGTCAACTTATATATTGTTTATTATGAGGTGAATAAATTTAATAAACGGATAGCTCACATAATGTTCTCAGTATAAACAATGTACGTACTTGCGTGATAATAAGCTCCAGTGAGTCTAAACTAAACTAGAGCTGTATATTATATGATGATATTAGCAAAGTTGCAAAGGCGGCTGGTTGCTCGAAACAAACATGTCAAATTAGTCACTCAAAGTTCTGACGAATTGATAAAGTGGAATTTCCGCGAGCTAGCCGTACAAATATTAATGGAGTTGTAGGATAGTGAAACTTGCGCTCGCGCATATCCTCTTATTTTGCGTATTTAAATCCAGCTCAGTTCGAATTTGGCTCCTATAATACTCGTGCATTTAATTCCATCGTCTTTTCTGTTGTTTCAGCTGGACTTGGGAAAATTTACAAGAATGCGGGACCGGCTCTCCTGGTGCATGATATTTCTCATACTACCAACTATTTTACTTGCTAGATCTCTCAACAAAGGTGAGTCATTCTTATTTTTACGCATATACAGCCTTGCGTTTTCGGAAAAGTTGTTAACTCTATTATTTTGCTTTCGAACTTTGTGCATTTGCAGACAGTTTTGCAAATATAGTTTAAAATACCTGCAGATATGTATATTTTTTCTGTCCAAGAATTTTACATATCGAGTGAACTTTACACAAATTTGTAATGAAACGTGTTTGACGTAATTTTTGCGTGTCAACAAATCATATCAGAAAAGCATTCGGTTACACGTACAAATAATCTCGCATCAAATACCAGAAAAAAACCACATCGAATGAAAGCAAAGAACGTATAGAGTCTCAAGAAACATTGAAATTGATAATTAGCCGGAAAATTTTATGAGAATTCTGAGAAAAACATTTAACGCTGGCAACACACTACATATGTGTGTGTGTGTGTATGTATGTATATCTGTGTATGTACATGTGTGTGTACATGTATATCTCTCTCATCAGCGATGAAAACGCGCCTAGCAGCGTCGGTGGCCTGCTTGCAAGCACTCGACGGCAGTGAAATGTTTTCCGCTTTGTCTGATGTGAAGCGCAGCGAGAGACAGAGCGAAATGCGCTGAAGACCGCGGGAATTTAAATTGCTGGCATGGCACATTTTCAGACTGCGCTCCACGCTCTTTACGCTGTTTATCAAACGTGATATGAGTTGACGCCGAGCTCTTCGTCGTCGCTGACGCCATGACGCACTATACGTCCAACTGCTTGCCGTATCCCACTGTGGCGCTCTATATATTGTACTAACTATTAAAATGTCCGAATTTTAAGTTGAATTCTCTCATTTTTAATCGAGTTCTTTTTTATTAGTACATACGTAGAGTTTCATAGGTCAACGTTGCTATGGCGAATACTAATAGATTCTCCAATTCATCGTTTCGATCTCGATTCTAGCCCGAAAATGTCGAGTATTTCATTATAATGCAATTAACCTGCAAGGTTAGCGAAATATTCCAAATTCTGGGCTTACTTTTATCCGTATTGTAGCAGGCGTAATTCGAGTTATCCGCGTTTCTATCAAAATCACGATTCCATAGTCGGCAAAAAGCGCAAACGGCTTTTCCTCGAATCATGTGAAAGTCCCTCGATATTTGTTGCGTTGCTTTAACAAAGTTCAGCGCCGCGCAACTATAAATATTCCAACTTAATTTATTTCGCTCGCGTATATTCACCTGTGATTCGCTGCGACATATCCTGCCCCTATTTTGCATCTAAAAGTAATCCAGCCATTTGAATAGCATTCACGTGCACGCGTAGCCTGGTGCACGTGAACGCGGGCAAAGGGCGCTTTCCTTGTCTCAGCTAGAAAAAAAAATAAGAAAGAAGAATAAAAATGCAAGAGCAGAGGATGATACGGGACGGGGAGGTCGCGAATATATTTTTACGCGCCGACAGTGAAAAGCTGCGTACCTGTCACAGGGTTGTTATCGCCTGAACGCGCGTTATTTTAGCCTGGTTCTCAAATGATTTATGCGAAATGCGCATACGTGCAGCCCTGTTTAATCATATTATTCATGCGTGCATGTGTGTGTGTGTGTGTTACCACGCAAGCGCCCATTAATTATGCTAGTATTCACACGCTCGTTTAGAATTTTTTCGTTTTTATTTCTATCGCGAAAAGGGTAACGCGGAAATACTAGCTTTTCCGCCTTCAGAAGGATTTAGAATTTAGAAAGGCTATTCAGAAGGTTTTTAACATAAATTACTTTGAAGATGGATTATTTGATTTCCCTTGGGTTTCGTTATTTGATTCGAATCTAAATTTGGTTTTCTTAATTGGGTCTGAGATGAAGTAGGATCGAAAGCTGTTGAAATTTCATATTTTGTTCATTGTGTTAAGGATAAAACTGTACCTTCGTTTATTTTTCGAACGGTTTTACTGTTATTACCGTTATCCAAACTTGATTTTTCTAACAAAATTTTCATTACTTCGTTACCTAAATTCGTACCTACCCGTCACCAAATTTATTTCAATAAAATTATCAATGTTTCAAACACGTTTTTCGTTGTTTTCTCGAAGTTAACTATATTTAAAATAAAGTGGGTCATATTGCGTTAACATACTGCATTGACAATCGAAAGTACAGTATTGGTCAAATAAAAGGCTTTGTTTCTTCTATCTCACCACCTTACATCCTACCTCACTTGCGATTAATTGACCACTAAAACTCAGCGCCATACTCCAAACTCCACACTAAGAGATGATTGGTGCACTGTAGTCTGACCGCAGGGTCTCTCTCCGCGGTTCGCACTAGTTTCTCTTCGAGGTCTACACAACGGCTCATCTTTGCGCCGTGTTCTGATTGGTGCCCTACAACTCTACCGAACAGTATATAGGCAGCGGTCATTTTCAGAGTTAGTCAGTCGACCTCCAGCTCCACCAGTGAAAGGTCCAATCCCCTCAACTAGCAGCCTAGGGCTAAACCTGAATAAAGTTACCTTAAGAGAAATGTCTCGTACTCTTTATCCGAAAACCTATCTCAGCCATTCTCAGGACGACGCTTCAGTGTACAATCCAACAGCTTTTTTCAGAACCATTTTTGAGCTCTCAATCGCTAAACACTGCACGGCCGGCTAAGGGGGTCGCTCAATTCTTCGGTAAAGCGACGTTGCGGGGTCAAAACAAGAGACCGTTGAACACACTACAAACGCAGCCAAACTCACACGGAACACACCACTAGACCGAAGAAAGAAGCGCAAAACACTGCACGGTTAGCTAAAAGGGTCGTGGAAATCAAAGCTCGTCTCGAGCGTAAATCGAGACCAAAAATATGGTCGCCAACGCTCTACCTCGGGTCGTTATCACCGCTGCCTAGATAAATTTACCCTGCTCTCCTCTCGGGACTACCACCCGTCGCTTCTTCATTAATAAACGTGACAGACTCTTGGGCGACTGGCCCCAATGCCTAGCATGTTTCAGCGGAAGCCAACGAGACTCCAACTCAGGCTATCTCCCTCGCAGCTACCCTTTTAAGAAACTTCGGGTACTTGGCCTCATGGTTTCCCACAACCAGCTTCAACCTCTGTTGCAACAACCACTCAGGGCTCCTGGGGCGGCTCACCAGGGCCAGAATTCCAAAACAGTAAGCCACTGTACACCAGGATCATCGACACTCCATTCTTTGGGCTCTATAAAGTTATGACCCCTCCCCTTCCTCCAATAGCAGAAATCATTGAACCGTAGTAACCACATCAGATACTCCTTTCCGTCCCGTACCGTTGATTGTAGAGCGGATACTTGATGTTCGTTAAGTCCTTACTCTTTACCAATAACTGGAACAACATTTATATATAAATAATTTGATTTTCATAACGTGATTGTATTGAGTCGCATTAAGAATAGGTCAACTCAAATGTTTTTTAATTCACGTTGGATAAATTTATGTTTGTTAAAATTAATTTTTGCCACGTACTAAATTTTAGAGATATGTTTTTCATCGATAATTCTCATCATAAACGCTTATATTACGTTTTACTTTTACTGTGAGGCGAATTTATCCTTGTAAATTGGTAAGTGCGTTAGCAAGTTCCGACTACATGAAACTTTACACAAGTTGATATTGAAATAGTAGCTTTAACAGTTATGGAATGTACGTAAAATTATAACGTATGTGAAATACCACTTCAATTTTTGATTTAATGAAGTTTCTAAAATACTTATAAATCATGTAAAATTAATTAATTGCTTCTGAAATTATAGTTATTTTAAAGAAATAAAATATACTCGTCTACTTTTAGTTCTCTATTTACTACTTCTACATAAAGATTAGGAATTGGTATATTCGAGGTATATTTTTAATATTAACAGAAACATTTGTTACGTACAAACATCAGAAATAGAAACAACAATAACAAGAGTAGTTAATAGAGAAACAGTAATATAATAACAAATAAAGATAAATAGAAATTAACATCAACTTACACAACCTACAATTAAAGCATTTGCTTTTTCTAAACATTTTTTTCTCACGATAGATTTATAATTAAAACTATACGCCGATCGTCTAAACCATCTGCATACGTGTTTATGTGAATTTTGGAATCAGAGATTGAAAATAAAATATTAAACCCAACCCAAAAAATAATTATTAATTTCGGAAGTAACTTGTACCAAGTTTTTCACTTACTAAATTTCAAATATAACGGTCACTTCGCGAAGTACATTTGTAGAAATGTTTCATATTCTTTTTTTTGGAATTCTCTTCTATATCATTTCTTATACGTATGTTTTTGTGCGTCTAACAAAGCTTCCATATCCCAAGGATTCAATTCAAGCAATGGATCGGACGAGAAATAAAAATATACAGATACCGTGAAATCTATAGGTAACACATTTTCGAATTTAGCAGCTTTCTATATATTCAGCCGCAATCTTATCAAATATGCTACACTTTCATTTACATTTTCTGATTGTATTGTTTACATATATTGATCTTTCCTATGCTTTCAATAATTCGTGTCTATTAGCATTTTTAAGTATATCCGATAAATATAGGTTTCATTTTTAACAGAAAATGAACGATTTTTATTAGTACTAATATTAGTCGACAGATGGCTTCGCGAATTCAATACTATAAACGAATTAATAAGCTATAGTCGAGAAATTTCACTTTTTATCAATTTATTATATTATATAATAATACTATGAACAATCTTCACAACAATATATTTTTGTAAATAGGCAGTTACAAGCTTCTGTAATAGTAACTTAAATTATTATCTATACATTAACAAATTGTTTCATCTAAAAAAATACGATACATTGTAATGATTAGAGAACTTAGTAAGTGAAGAGTATTTATTTCTTTAAAAAATATAACAAATAAAAAAAATGCTAAACTTAATTATTTATCTGTAATTGATCAAATGATTGTTGAAAAACAAAGCAGTAATTCGCAATCACAGCGTAAACGAATTTTGAATATACGGAGGGAGCGAATGAATAAACGTAGTAAAAAAGTTTAGCGAAAG